GTTTGTTATTTTGAAGTAGGAGACATGATGACATGATTTTGATTTGAAGTTGCTTCTTGATCAATGTTAGCCAAGATGATGTCATCAAGATAATTGTCAATAGTAATAAAAAGAATATTGACATATTCTTCTTCAAAATCAATGTCTGTAACCTTATCTCCTCCTATAAACTCAACATCTTCAAAGAAATAAGTATTTTCTTTCTCAAAAATAACCTTTGTAGTGGGATTATAAAAATTTATATTCTTTAGACCTCTCTAGGTATCCAACAAAGTAGTAACTAACTATTTTAGAGTCAAGTTTTCTTTCATTAGGTCTTACCTCTCCCGAACAACCCCAAATGTACAAATACTTTAAACTAGACTTATTGCATGTCCAAAGCTCATAAGGAGTATTAACAATTGTCTTAGTTGGAATCCGATTAAACAAATAAGTTGCAGTTTTTAGTGCTTCTTTCCAGAGGTTATCTAATATGGTAGATTGACTAATCATACTCCTTACCATATCTTTAAGTGTTCTGTTTCGTTGTTCAGCAATATCATTCATGCTAGGAGATCCTAGCGTAATGTACTATGAGATGATGTCGCATTCCTCTAGAAATTTAGCGAAAGGTCTTGAATGTTGTTCACCTGATCTATCATATCTACTGTAGTATTCATCACCACAGTCTAGTCTGATGGCCTTAATTTGTTTGTTGAGTTGATTCTCAACTTCGGCCTTATATTTCTTGAATACATCTAGTGATTGAAACTTTTTATGAATAAGATATAAGTAACTAAATCGAGAATAATTGTCTATAAATATAATAAAATATTATTGACCATTCCAAGAGGCCGTAGGGAATGGTCTACAAATATCTATATGTATTAATTATAAGACATTTGAAACTCGATTGACACTTGTTTTCTTTATATTTGTTCTTTTCTCCTTGATACATTCGGCACGTGTCAAAATCCTTATAATCAAATGGATCAAGAATTCTATCAAACATGAGTTGATCAATTCTCTTTTTAGAGATATGACCTAATCTCTTGTGCTATAACAAAACATAATTCTCATTGATTAATTTCCTTTTTGTACTCTTTGAACTGATATGCAGGATTTCCTTAGATGAAACCATTACATCAAGTAAATATAAGTTATCATGACTTGATAAAACACATATACCAATATGATTTGATTTATCAAAGAGACTAAATTTTCCTTTTTTAAATAGACAACTCTAACCAAATTTCTAAATTATAAAGAAAAATCAAGTTTTGTCTAAAAGATAATACAACATAAGTTTTAATTAAATCTAAATAGTGTCCAATCTTTAACTATAACCTAAAGGTCCTTATTGCCTCCATTGTTACTACATTGACATCTCCTAAGTAGATGTATCTTTCATCATCAATTGGCTAACGACAATGGAGGCAATCCTACATAGACACACTTATGTGAATAGTAACAACACAATTTATCTACCATGTGTGCAAAGGTATAGAAGTTAAATTAATCTCTAACCAAACAAAAGTGAGAAGGTCACCTTTCTTTATACGTCAAACATGATACTTAGTACAATCCTTCTTCATGTGGTCACTATGCTAGCAAAAGAAGCAAGTAGATTCCTTATCTTGCTTCTTTTGTTATTTCTTTAGTGATGTTTCATCTTCAGGTTCATTGACTATAGGTCTTTTCTTCATTTTGTTCTTATAGATCATGGCCAAATGAGCACTCTCATGTTTATCTTGTTTTAACCTTTCTTTATCTTGCACACAATATGATATGAGCTCATTTATGGACCATTTGTCTCTTTGGCAATTATAGTTCACCTTAAATTGATTGAATTGTGTACAAAGAGAAATCAAAACTAAGTACACAAGCAAATCTTTTGATAGCTCTATCTTCAGTGCCTTTAGTTATGATGCAAGATGAGACATCTTGAGAATGTACTCCTTTATATTTTTCTTGCCTTTATACTTCATAGAGATAAGTTTTGTTAAGATAATACTTGTTTCGACTTTATCATTTTTAGTGATCACTTCAAGCAAAGTGCCCCTAAAGGCTTCTAGAATGACAAGCTTCATGATCATAAGAGTTTGTAAGACGATCTTCTCTTGATGCAATATTTAGATCCAAGCAACCGAAAACTATCATAACATTCTCTTTTCATGTCTTAAAGTTGGTGCCATTTAACATAAGAATAGAGTTTATCTATGTAGAAATAATAGAAGCAGAACTTGAAACTATACAAAGAACAATATAAAGCTCACATAAGTAATTTGATTTTCAAATGATGATACTTCTCATCATAAGATATTGAGTGCAATATTAATATTGTCTTTGGACAGTAATATTAATTACAAATAATATCTTGATGTGATAAATAAATATTGACAATAAGTTTTTGAAAAGTAAGAAAAAAAAGTTCCAACATCGCGATGGTGATGCGTCGGTGATGTATTAGAATCCTGAACATTCGGGAGAATCATCGTGCAGTGTTCATGGCTTCAAAGGCTCTCTTTGGACAAAGACGACGTAGGCAATCTCTAGATCTCCTTGCGAAATCTAGAGATCAATGAAATGAGTTGTCGAATCATCTTTGACAGTTGTCACCTAGTGATAAGTCTTCATTATCATGAGTTAATAATTAGTAAATAATATAGTATTAGCCTTAACTCATGATAAATAGACTTATATTTGTATTAAAATGTGAAAAGTGATTTTCAATTGATTAACATGAATTTGTGGGTCATTATGTGATTTTATACGAATTTATATTATTTTTATAGTCTTACTTTTGAGATAAATGAAGAAAAAGAAATTAAAATAAAAATAAGACAAAATGGGGGGGACCTATCAGTCAACTGGGCATGCAAGTGGGTCGGAAGCGTAGTCGAAGGAGTAGCCGCGAGTAGGGGCTCGAGCGGCTTGGACCAATAGGGGAACGTGTGTGCCACCCCCCTTTCACATCACCGGTGGCCAGTCGGTTGTGGGGCAAGGAGTGGTCGTACACGCGCGAGAAAGGGACTTGCTTTGAAATGTAACATTACTATATATTCGCCCGAAAATTCGGTGCACAAGTGATGTGGGACTAAACCCGCATCACCTTCCCTAGAAAGGGCAGGCAACCGGCGCGGGTTCGAATCCTCCCAAAGCCAAAACTCATATTTTTTATCTGATTATTGCGACTTTCCTACAGATCGCCGATGAAGGATTAAGCAACTAGAATCGTTGGATCATTGGTGAAAATTTCGTCGACACGATTCACGGAGTATTATTACTAAAATTACTGAACGATTCGTGATAAAAGGATTGCGAATCCATCGAGTAAAACATCTCCGATTGATCGACAAACAAGCCGTTGTCAGGAAGAGGACGATCCACCGAGAAACGAGTCGTCACCTCTTGAGAGCATACCGGATGCGATGAAGAGCCTCCTCTTACTACACGGACTTGAGGATGAAGCTCTCTAACACGTGCCCCACCTCCATCCAGCTCCTCTCCGTCGGGTGATAGCCGCCGAAGAGCCGCAAAGTCGCTATTTTTCCGCTCCACCGGGTGACAGCCGCTGGAAACAGTTTGACGACCCATTTCATTGATCTCTAGACTTCGCAAAGAGATCTAGAGATTACTCACGTCGTCTTTGTTTAAGGAGAGCCTTCGAGGCCGTGGACAGTGCATGATGATTGACGTGACTTAGTTGTTGTATATTAAATCACGCAAATCTAAAATTTATAAAACTAAAAAATACGAATTTTCGGATATTTAGAAGTATTTTTAAATAAATATATCAATTATAATTCAATGAAACTTCCAAAAATAGCGATAATTTTTAGGTCGATCATAGGGATGTAATATAATATCTGGTAATTATTCAGAATTTTTCTCAATGAATACGATTTTCTATGAATTTTATACTAGGAAATGAAAAGAAAATATATTTAAAATTTATGAAAAAGGGAAATAAGGGTGCAGACGTCAGAATGATGTCAGCGCCCGGAAACGCGAATCGGGCGAAAACAGAGTTCCGCCCCACGATTCTTACGTAAGCGATTACAGACGATTTAATTAATCAAATTAAGATCTGTAAAAGTCGGAAGAATCGTAATAGAACAAAGTATATTTTGGTAAATTAAAATCACAAAAACTATCACTAAATGAAGTGTAAAGTAAGTTGAAAGCAGGAAAACAGAGTTCCGGCGTCGCGACGGCGATGCGTCGGCGATGCACCGGAATCCTGAGCATTCGGGAGGATCGTCGTGTAGTGTCTACGGCCTCGAAGGCTCTCTTTGGACAAAGACGACGTGGGCAATCTCTAGATCTTCTCGCGAAGTCTAGAGATTAATGAAATAGGTCGTCGAGTTGTCTCCGGCGGTTGTCACCCGGTGGAGCAGAAAAACGGCGACTTTGCGGCTCTTCGGCGGCTGTCACTCGACAGAGAGGAGCTGGATGGAGGTGGGGCACGTGTTAGGGAGCTTCATCCTCAGGTCCGCGCAGCAAGAGGAGGCTCTTCATCGCATCTGGTATGCTCTCAGGAGGTGGCGACTCGTCTCCCGACGGATCGTCCTCTTCCCGACGACGGCTTGTTTGTCAATCAATCAAAGATGATTTACTCGATGGATTCGTGATCCTTTTATCGCGAATTGTTGAGCAATTTTAGTAGCAATGCTCTGCGAATCACGTTAACGAGATTTTCGCCGATAATCCAGCGATTCTCGTTGCTTAATCCTTCACCGGCGATCTGTAGGAAAGTTACGATAATCAGATAAAAATATATGAATTTTGACTCTGGGAGGATTTGAACCCGCGCCGGTTGTCCGCCCCTTCTGAGGAAGGTGTGACGCGGGTTTAGTCCCACATCGGTTGTGTGCCGATTTTTCGGGCGAATATATAGTAATGTTAGCTTTCTAAGCAAAGTTCCTTCTCTCGCATGTACGACCACTCTTTGGCCCACAGCCGACTAGCCACCGGTGACGTGGAAGGGGAGTGGCACACACGTGCCCTTATCAATCCAA